TGCTGCCGAAATTTCCCGAATACAATTCAGACCACTCTGTATATTGCCCAATAGCTCTCTAATAAATTTAATTATCGTTAATAACAAAAGCGTTTTGCAATACTTAATACCTATTCCGCCATGTTGTTGTTCCGCGATTCTCGATCTAGACGCCTTGGTTCAAGGTCCCTCGCCTACCTTGATTCGAGTCAATGACACGTGCGTGAGACGCCAGTAATTGCGACGTTGTCAATACGCCCAGTCTATCACGAAAAAGCTTTTAAAACGACAATTAAGTAAGAATTTACTTTCAATCAATGACTAAAGAATGCAATGAATAATAACACCAGAAACTGAATTGTTACCTGTTGACACCAAACAGCGTCGTGCCAATGGGTTAATATAAAAAATGCAGAATTAAATAAAAAAATTCAGTTTTTACTGTTTCACATTTTTTTTTTAAATTATTATTCGTTGGTTTTTAATTTTGTTTTTTACATGTCTGCCTTTTATAATAAAGTGGATTATTCAGATTTTCATCTCACGAAATTTGTTTGTAAATGGGACAAGGTGTCGTTTAAATTGGGCGGTTTGGTTTGGTTGAGTTATTAGACTTATTTAATTGTTAATAATTTTTATTTATATTTTTGATAAAAGTTTCACCTACGCCTATGGTGGATGCTGCTTTTTCAGATGGTTTTGTGCCAGTTATTTAAAGAAGGTACAATACTAATATGTACTATTATGCCTAAATAGTATGTAGCACATATCATAGTGTAATATCAGAAAAATGATATTCAAATTCGATAAAAAAATGCGTTCTGCTTGACAGCTATTAAATTGAAGGATTTGAATGTTTGAAAAAGTGCAGTTTGAAATGTTGAAAAAGTAATAAAATAAAAATTAATAAATAATTTGATTCACTTTCACAAAACTTGTATTAAAATATCAATATTTTTGATAAACACGTGGACTGCTCACAAAAACACGTCGCGTCGCTACATATTCCTAAGCCGCAGACTGTTAGTTTTTACTCCCAGCGCCAGATCGTTACCACTTTTCGTCTCGCTAGCACGTGTGTCACGGCCTTGCATTTTTCCCCGCGCGCGTAAAGAAGTTTCACTTGTTTATTTACCTATGTATAAATTTAATTCTTGGCTCTTCTCACTGCTGCTTTCAAACTTGAAAGCAAGAACAAATTTAATCACCATTGTAATAAAGTTTATACAAAGTTCACTACATACAACAAATTATTAAAAATCGCTAAAATTGTTGCTGATGACGCCTCCTTTGTTTGGCACCAATATAATAGTATCCTATAATTTAACATCGAATTTTTACATATCCTGATATTCTTTAGTTATTGATTTCAACGAAACGTTATTGTATAGTTGACTATTGTGTTCCATGTTTTGACCATTTTTTACAACATTTTATTAGGTAGAAATAGTAAAATCCTGGTTTTTAATAATTGTGAGTCAGTTTGGCAACAACGTTTGTTTATTTATCTCTTGTTCGTTTGTTGTCATAGCAACTGCTCCACTGCTTTGTACATTTTGCTTACTTTTAAAGCTGTAAGCGCCATCTATACGCGAACCGTTGTAGTTCTGGCCATCGATTTCTCATTGGAGATGAGCGCCACGCTGCAGGTTTCTGTACGTTGGAAAATAAATGTTTCGGGATCCGCTTGATAGGTGGCGCCAGAGGTTCTGACTGAATGAAATAATTTTTAATTTAAAATACTTTGAAAATTAATAGTTTATAAATTTACTTTGGATGTTTTTTTTGCGGAATACATACAGTGCTTTTATTTTAAGACTAAATAAAAGTATATTGCTGATATAATAAGAAAACATATTTAACAGAAAATAGTAAAACAGGTATGCATGTTGGTTGCAATTTGGAACTAATTTACTATCTTTATAAGTTTAAATTGACTACCCTATAACAGCAAAACGGTCAAAATCAATTTTCGTCATAGAGGATCCGTGGACATAACATATTAAACTAACCAAAGATGTTTGAGCCAAAAAGAGCAGAAAGTAGAACATAAAAAGCTAAGCAACTCCACGTATATATCCTAAATATGCCAATTTTGGACTTAATATAGTTTGCTTCTAGAATACCGATATGGATATCAACCTGTGTATATGTAAAGTTAAAAATTCGGACGGTTCCGCGCGTTTTCATACTTCCCGCGCATTCGCATCCACTGTGAGAGCAGCCTAATTTTTATCATTACACATGTAAGAAAGATGAGGCAACATTAGTATTAATGTAAGAAGAGATATCTATGTCCAAATAATTGTTATTGACGGTTTCATCAGCTTATACAGACGCCGGCTTTGGTTTTCGAAATAAAAAACAGCCTGTCATTTCTGTTTTTTGTCTAGAGTTACTCGTTTGCTTTTTTTTCTCTCAAATTGGTTCGGGTTAATAGAGGACATGGTTTCTTATAGTGATGTGTTTTATAGTGAAAGGTGGGCATAGATTAATTTTATTTTTTTAAATAATACTTTCTTTTTATTATTTTAAAATATGATATTACCCTCAATTTAAACGTTCTAAATAATTAAATTATTTTTTTAAAGATTCTACGAAATATTCTTGGTTTTTTTACTCAGTTGGATTGTTTGAGTGTATTATGAAAGAATCAAGGTTAAGAAAATTAGTTATGTGATAGTTATGAGTTATGTCTAGGCTAAAATAGGTTAGAAAATTTTCAAAATTTTTGAAAACTTGTAAAAACAGCTAAAAATGGTAAATTTTTCGACTTTTTCAATACATATATGCTCATGAAATTTGTCTGTTTTGGACCGATTTTGATGAAACTACTGTTATTTACTAATTAAAAGATTGATCGTTTGATTGGTCGTGAAGAAGTATTGGTAAAATCATGAATTAAAAATTTTTAAAATTGAAATTTGGGTTATAAGTTAACGAAAGTCGATATATTCAAGCTGTCTAACTAAACCGATTGGATATTACATAGGGAGGGCAAAATCTTATTTATTTCTGAATATTCTGTTATTTTAAATTCAACCCTATGTATATTATTTAAAAATTGGTGTTTCTTAAGTAGAGCTATTTAAAAATTAATAATAATTATATTATAGTGTCATTTCAAGAATTTCGTTACCATGACTATTTTAGAACTTTAATTATTGATACTTATAAAATTTGAATATTTGTCATGGTAACGATTTTCTTTAAAGGAAACAATCAAATAGAATATTATCTTTTCAATGGCTTTACTGAAGAAGGTTTAGATATAGGAACATAATATGTCGTTGAAAAGCAATTTTATTTGGGTTTCGATTTTTTAAATAATATACAAAGGCTTGAATCTAAAATAACAATAATTTGAACGATTTTATAACAAATAGAAATATTTGTTTTTTTTTGACCTCCATGTTTCATATCCAATCAGTTAATTTAGATAGATCCCATATGTTGACTTATACAGGATCCGGCAATAGTGGCTCAAAAAAGTGTGAGTGGACCTGGATGATTTTTTTTAAATGGAACACCCTGTATATTATTGCATTTTTGGCTTCCTTTCAGATCACTTTACACGACCCTAAGATATGAATAAATATATTTCGATAGTTTCAGAGACATTAAAAAATAAATCAAAAATATATATTTTTCAACCCTTCTTAAAAAACTATTAAAAATACAAGAACTGTTCTGAAATCAAAACTATGTTCTGTTCTTACTTTGCTATAAATATGGTAATCGTAAACCATACAGGATGTTCAATATTCTACGCCAAACTTTCTAAAATATAAAATATTTTTTCTTTGTTATTTTAAATGGAACACCCTGTATATTATTTTTTTATTAGATGGAGAGTTAAAAAATGAACATTTTTTGCATGTAGAGTATTTCAAAATTTTTAACGGTTTCGCAGATACGCGCAGTATTATTTCATATGGCGCTTTCAATGGTAAAATACGAGAGTAAAATCATTGAGTGGCTTTGATAAAAATTTACTGTGGAAAATGCTATACGAAATATAAACCCGCAAATATTTGCGAAACCGTTAAAAATTTTGAAGTACTCTAAATACAAAAAATGTTCATTTTCTATTGAATATTATTCTCCGTCTATTGAAAATATAATATACAGGGTGTTTCATTTAAAAAAACAAGGAAAAATTATTTTATATTTTGGAAAGTTTGGCGTAGAATTTTGAACATCCTGTATAATTTACGATTTTCATATTTATAGCAAAGTAAGTACAGATCATCTAAAGTAAGTACCTAATATAGTTTTGATTTCAGAATAGTTCGTGTAAATTTTTAATAATTTTTTTAAGAAGGGCTGAAAAATATATATTGATTTATTTTTTAATATCTCTGAAACTATCGAAATATATTTATTCATATCTTAGGGTTATCTAAAGTGATCTGAAAGGAAGCCAAAAATGCAATAATATACAGGGTGTTCCATTTAAAAAAATCAGCAAGGTCCACTCACACTTTTTTGAGCCACCCTATAAGTTAAAATATTTTCCTGAAATACATCCTGGTACATACTTTAGGTTTGCACTTAAACAAAATACTCAAGTTTTTTATTCTAAGAGCTACAGATGCCCGACGCACTATTGCCGGACCCTGTATAAACCAAATTTCAGCTTTCAATATGCCGAATTTATGATTTAACCAATGCATAGGTTAGTGTAATAGAAAAATTATGAGATATGACAGTAGTTTCGAAAAATGTAAGGGTATACCGGGTGTTCCATTTAAAATAACAAAGATGCTACCATATTTAGGATGAAACGACAACACTGTATTGCTGAAAATGATTTAGACAGATAGCGCAGATGCCTTTACACAAAAATTCAAATTTTGGAAAATATTCTATAACCGGTTCTCCATAAACGTCTAATCTACCATGGCCGTGAATCACCCTGTATATTATATTCTGAATCTACATAAAATTTCCTACAAGTACTAAAAGTTTCATAATTTTACGACTATGGTTACTATATTTTTGTAATTTTTCTATTCTAGCCGTACCCCAGGCAGTCGTCAACCCTCCCCAGCCGAGGAGGACTTGAATAAAAATGGCATCGTCGCTCCAGGTGGCATCGGTGGTCTCGATCCGGCAACCATGGGACTCGTTCTAAAACAACCCCCTCCTGTTGATGGTGGAGGTGGACCCCTACATCCGCACCAACACCAATTGCATCATTTACCACCACATTTGGGGCCTCACTTGGGGGTTACCTTGGCGGAAAGTGTCAACCAGCAGTTTGCTGACCATTTTGCAGAAACTCAACAGGTAGGTTGATTACACAGGTCGACAAATTCAAACTTATCATTTCTAACATTGATGACCATAGCTGATTATATCAGATTCTGTACTACATATTAAAATTAAAAACACGTAATTTTTTTTGTTAGATGGTGATAAACAATAAATAAGAATAAATCACATTTTTATTTAACAAGTATCATATTTCATTATTATATTAAATTAAAAAATTATAAAAAGTTTTATATGCATTATATTGCATAAAATCAAAGTGTACTACATCAATATGAAATATGACTACATATTAAGCGATAAAATACGCAAACATGCTTAAAAGCGTTATTTTTTTCTTTTATGTGACGTCGGATCTTCTGGTTTTAAAAACCAGCATTAGTCGCCAATCATAACTGGATCCCAACGATCAAGGGGGGATCCAACCAAAATAATCATGTGAAATCTCTCTCTCCTTGTTCATCACTGACTTCACCGAGATTTTCGGGAGAAAATTCAAATGCGAGTGGAGAAAAATAATTTTTAGGGACATACGGCATCCGAATGACTGCCAGCATCTTAAACTTCTTGTACGACTAATTCATAGTTTTCTTCTTTTTTGTTATCTAAGAACCCTTTAACTACATTTACAAGGAAGTTTTAAGCTCTTAGTACTTTCTGAGTGAGTTTCTCTTTAAAGGCGAGCTCTTTAAGGGGCTTTCTTATTTGATGCCAGATTTGATGCCAAATAAAAATACCCTCTTTTTAAGCTTGGCATCACTGATTTGTGGAAAAACTGTTTTCAAATGTTTAAATCCTTCACTTTCAGTGTCCATGGCTATTACAATTTTTTTTACCAGTTTCAACTTAATATGGACGGGTGTAAGTAGCAGGCTTTGGATCAACAAGTGGTAGATATTTTATTTACTCGTACCTGGTTCAAAAGATGTTCTTGGAGGTCACTCTTTTTCACAAAAAGTTCCTAAGTTGCCCGAATATCCCACAAATACAAGAAATAACAGTACTTCGTAAAACCACCTTGAATTCCTAGTAATAGACCTATAACATGAGGAACAGGCTCTGCAAATGGCAAGTCTGGATACTCAATTGTCTTTCTGTTTCTTTGATTAACATTTGTAAGGCTAAAAACATAGTGGAGCGACGAGGAGAGCGGCGAGCAAGCAGCGCGACGTGCGTCCAAAACAAACCTGTGAAGACATGTACGCGTGAACATAGTAAAGCGATTTGCTCGCCGGTCTACTATGTTTTAGCACCTCCAGGCTCGATCGACGCGATATCGCGCTGCTTGCTCGCCGCTCCCCTCGTCACGCCACTATGTTTTTAGCCAAAGACAGAAATAGTAGTCATTAAAATGATTAGTAGATTCTCTCCATATCATAGAAACAACAAATAACATATTTTTTCTCTGGCCTTTCAGCCTCTGAACCAAATTCAAACTACAACTTATACAGCACACATGACTAACCCAAGACTGATCTTGATCCCTAACTGTAACAAAAATTAACAACTTAAAAAAATAAACACATTTTTTAAGATATTTTTAGAACCGTTATTCCGATTTGAATGAGATTTGGGGTCCCTATATTTTTCTAGATGCTCTATCATTTGTCTTATTATGATTAATTTTTGAGAAAATATAAAAGAGTGTTTTTTTATTTTTGCAGGCCGCGGCAGGGCAAGCATATGATCAAACGCAGCACCAGCAGTTTGCAGCTCAGCAGCATCAAGTGGAGAGTGCAGTGTTACAGCAGCAACAGCATAATTTTGATGTACAGGTAAGTGAATACAGCATCATAATTTTGGCGATGTCAATCTCTATACTTTATTTATTAAAAATTGACATAAATCTTGTCATAAATTAACACTAATAAGTTAATATTTTTTCTCGAATTTTAAATTACAATATTTAAAAATCATTTTTACTCAAAATAAAAATTAATTACAACCTTCTTAAGCACCGTTAAAAAATCAAGAAGAGTCCGGGCTAAGTAAATGACGTCTAGGGCTTAACCTCGCCAAAATTAAGATTGAATGCCGTTCCCCAGCCGTCTTTGACGCCGTTTTTTCTCGACCGTGTAACTAATTATGTTAATGTAACACTTGAACCGCTTTGTTGATTTATATCTACATATTATGTGCAAAATGGGCTTTATTAATGATATTAAATAATAAATGTGATTGTAAAGTATATGTGCGAATAGGGCTACCATAAAATATATTTATCCACTACTAAATTTTATGATTCCATTAGATAAATTAATTTTCTACCAATGGAACAATAAAATGGGGCTTTATATATCGTCATGTTAAGCCATAGCGTTTATAAACTTTGTTTTGTGAGCATAATTCATACATTTTGTTGCTTGAGGCAGTTTTTTGAGTTTTAGAATATTCGGTGGCGGTGTTACTATATTATGTTTTATACCTTAACTTGATTTGTGCATATTATAATAATTAACTCTAACAAATATTACCATATTTGGGAAATCATTAAACAACATATAGATACATTTAAAGTAAAATAATATTATGAAGTTTACTGGAAATAACATCTTTATAAACACTGTACGTCACTGAATATTTTATTTATCCTTACCGTTGCCACGTTGCCTCAAATCCATTGGTCTGAGTGTAATTTGAAATTTTCTCTGTGCCCCACGTTGGGCACCAAAAAAAAAGATTTCTATTTTTAATTTTAATTAATAAATGATATTCTACCTATACGAATTTAAATTAATTGGAGGGCATGAACCCTAGCGCCATGCAAATTGTTTTAAACGTTTTAATCGAAGCCTATCGTATATTATTCGGTAGCTACGGGGCCATAATTTAAAGCGTATCTACGCTCGATCGATGCGGAGCATTATTTAATTGAAACGAATTAAGCTCGCGAGGATATGTTATTGCTATTGATTGATTTTCATAACGCGGACGCATTTGCCTACTACGTCTGCATCAATTTATTTCGTGGCTGTTTTATTTTCGGAAAAAAGTAATTAAATTTATGTATTTTGTCTTAAGCAACGTCTACATATAACTTTTTATCTGTTGTGTCAAAACGGATCAATTAAAACCATAGATAAAAGAAGATAACCATCTATTAAGATAGATATGAAATAACTTAATAGTAAAGTTTTGGGTTAAAGCGCCCCTCCGTGTCCTTAGTCAAGACTACTTTTAACCTAGCGCCTTCGCCTTTTCTGCTCTAAATGTTTAATAATTAAATAAATTTTTTCTACAAGCTAGTAATTAAATAACAATATTTTTGATAAAACTTACGTAAGTATATAGTTAGCAGAAATATACAGGGTAGCTTTTATGTATGGAAACGGTCGATTATTAGATAAAATATAGGAGGTACCGCAAAAAGTTAAATACAAAAGTTATAGGATTTTTAAATATCTATTAGCGAGTAATAAATTTAAGTATACAGGGTCGTTCATAAAGTCGTGGCACATTAAAGTCTCATTTTCTTAAGTAGAACCCTGTATATTATTACATATTTCAAATCTTCCTTCAATTCTAAGCATAAATCGAAAAACACAATGTACTTCAAAACAACTGTTTCTGAGTTATTCACTTTTGAAAATATCACTTAAGATTAATTTCGATGTGTTTGTTTTGATTTAATGAAGCCATTCTGCCGAAACTCTGATACTGTTGTAATGGGTTTTTAAATTCCTATTAGCTACTAGTAAATTTAAGTATACAGGGTCGGTCATAAAATTGTGTCACATCAAACTTTATTTTTTTAAAAATGAAACCCCCTATATATGTTATTGCATATTTCAATTCTTCCTTCAATTTTAAGCAATAATTGTAATACACAATGTACAGGGTGGGTCAAATTCGACGCTTTTAAATGGAAACACCCTTTTCTATAGGAGATAGACTAAAACTAATATTGGTGTTAAGAGCTCAATTTTTGTCAAAAACATGATGGTGAAAACCGCATATCGATATCTGTTACCGTTTCGGAGTACCCCGTAACTCCGAAACCGTTTTTCAAAAATATGCATTTTTAACAAATCACTGTAACTTTTTTATTATGGAAAATTTTGTATTTTTATGAAAACATTTCCAAAGCACCTTTTTACGTAGAATTTAATGGTTTAAGTATAATTTTTTTAAAATTAATAATTTAAGAATTATCACTTATAATATCACAAGAGCTTAAATTATTTTCGGAAATTTTTTTGAGGGCACGAATATTTTGAAAATTATCCCGAGTCGAAGACGAGGGATAATTTTCCTAAAATATTCGTGCCCGAAAGAAAATTTCCAGGAATAATTTAAGCTTGCGTGGTATTCGGTAAGAAAATTTCACACCTAAATTTAAAAAAAAAATATTAAACGGCAACATGACATTTTAAAATAATTTCAATTTGTTAGGCCAAGGTATTGATGTTTTTGACATATTATGTGTTTTGTCATTTTTGTTTGCGATTCTGTCATTAAGCTATTACTAGTTTTAAAACGTCTGTACGTAGAGTAAGAAGTGTATAGCGAAATGTCGCGATTTGGAGAAAAGTAAACCAACAAGTCATTAAAGAAGAAATTGAAAATATAAAACCAGATAACACCCGAAAATCAAAAATCAAGTGTATATCCATCATATTTCGTTAAATAGAAAAATACCAGCTTTAGTTAAATAAAGGCGGCAGAACTATATTTTTTAGAACATGGCAATTTCGAAGAAATTCATATGTAGGTATATCTAACATATTTCCTTAAATAAAAAAATATTACTAACCTTAGTTACATCAAATGCTAAAACTCAAATGGGTAATATTTCAATATATAGACATTGTAGTTCATTCACATTATGATTGTAGATCTTATGTTTACCTTTTCAACTGTCAAAAAATTCCACTAAAGTTTCTATAACAATTTAAAATATATTTAACCAACATCAACACATTTAAACTATCTAATAACAATAAAAATAAATAGCAAACCAAGACATGAGATTTTGCTACAGGTGTTCGACATATCGACCTTATATCTGTTATGGACAGACGGGCCAGTTTTTGAACATTTCTCGCGGAATTCATTAACTCAGTAGGGGTGAAAGATACCCTTTCATAACTGCTAAGTATTTTGAATTCTTGTCTAGATTATACGGAAGAATAAGGAACCTTTATTCGTAAATATATCCGTAGGATTAGATCCATGGGCTCTAAGTCAAGCGGCCTCGACGGCCAACGGTTGGGATCTTGGTTAGCTATCCAATTATTCTTGAAATTGGCTGCAAAAATTTGCTAATAACTTCGTTCAGAGGCGGTGCGTCGTCTTGCTGGAAAAATATGTTTTCGAGTGCCATTAAGGGCATATCATCAATAAGGGGTCCAAAGCCTACTAATTAAAAGTGGCGAACTTTTAAAAATTCTGTATTTCGAAGGGGATTATAACAAAATATCAAGTGTGCTATATTTTTGGAAAGGTAATTTTAAATTCTTTTCAGTTAATTAAAAATATAGAGGGTGTCCCAAATAAAAAAATCAATTTTTCTGTTGATAACTTTTAAATTATTATTGTTAAAAAAATTATACTTAAACCATTAAATTCTATGTAAAAAGGTGCTTTGGAAATATTTTCATAGAAATACAAAATTTTCCATAACAAAAAAGTTACAGCGATTTGTTAAAAATGCACGTTTTTGAAAAACGAACTCCGAAACGGTAACTCCGAAACCATAACTCCGAAACGGTAACAGATATTGATATACGGTTTTCACCATCATATTTTTGATGAAAATTGAGCTCCAGACACCGATATTAGTTTTCGGCTATCTCCTATAGAAACGGGTGTTTCCATTTAAAAGCGTCGAATTTGACCCACCCTGTACATAAATTGAAGAATTGAAATGTTAAACGAACATTTTGGAATTTTCAAACTTGATATACTCTCATTTTATACATCTATAAATGCTAACTGGAGAACTAATTTCAAATATCATTAAGTATCACAGTTTCGGCAGAATGACATCGTTAAATGAAACCGAACATATCGAAATTAATTAAATCGAATTGTTTAAGTGATATTTTCAAAAGTCAATAATTCGGAAACGGTTGGTTTGTGGTACATTGTGTGTATTTCGATTTTTGCTTAGAATTGAAGGAAGAACCGAAATATGCAATAATATACAGGGTGTTCCATTTAAAAAAATGAAACTGATGTGTCACGCCTTTATGACCGACCCTGTATATTTAAATTTATTACCCGCTAATAGATATTTATAAACCCTATAACTTTTATATTTAACTTTTTGCGGTACGTCCTATAGTTTACCTAATAATCGACCGTTTCCATACATAACAGCGACCCTGTATAACACCTGATGCCTGTCCACTTTGCTATCCATAAATATTTGAAACGATATATTTCTTTATATGTTCTTTGACTAGTAACTGCAAAATTACATTGATTTATTTTATAAACGAAATAATTTTACAGCAAATACTTCTAATATGAAAAATATTCATGAGTGTAATAAGACCAATTAAAAATTTTACCTTTTGATGTTGAAGGCGTTTCCATAGATGTTTCAATTTTGTCAAAAACAACCGGATATTTTTTCGACGCAGGTCCAAATTTATTAAAACTATTTTTTTAACTATTTATTTCTCATTCACCGTTGACAATTTTGTCAAATAGATTTAAAATACATTATATGCATTTTATAGGCAATCAAATAAACTAGTAAGCTCTAAAATTATTTTTCCCACCACTAGCAACGTACCCTTAGTCAATACTAAATTATTTTGGCAAAATT